ATTTTGCTGAAAAAATATTTTTTGAGTACGCTTTCACTGTGCATATTTTTTTGAGTACATTTTATTGAAAAAAATGATAATTTGCTAAAAAAATACTAAAAATACAAAAAAAAAAAATTCAGTACATTTTTTGTATTATGTATTTACTAATTTTTTAAAATATTTTTTCACAATTTTTTACTTTTTAGATACATCTAACTAAGGTGCATCTGAAAAAGTAAAAAAAAAAATGTTAAAAATTTTAAAAATATTTGCTAAAAACAAAAAAATACGAAAATAAAAAAACTCAGTTTTCAAATAACTAAATCCAAAAATTTCAAACCAAATACACTGAATATTTTTTAAACAATCATGTTGACATTTTGGAAAAAATTGTATTTTATAGAAAAATTTTTTAGTTAACCAAACAAACATTTTACTTTTTTTTGATAAAAAAATTACATAATAAATATATTAAGTGTAGAGTGAGTGGAGGGACAAAAAAAAAAAAAAAAAGAGTTGAACTTAATTGTGTAACTCCCGCGGATTGAACCCACGCCACTCTGGTGCAAAACAAATGCACTACCACTTGTACTACAAAGTACTTAAATTTTATTTTGATTACATTTTAATATATTTTAAACATTTTCTTAATAAAACAGATATGCACAGTGAAAGCGTGGTTTGGAACTGTGTTTTCTTCGTATGCATAGTGAAAACACTATTTCAAATTGCGTTTTCTTCAGAAAATTTTTTTATGTTAAAAGCGTGATTTGGAACAACGCTTTCTTAATCAAAAGTGCGTTTTGGAATAATGTTTTCACTATTCATCAAATTTTGGACTCAAAACAGTGAAAGCGCGATTTGTAATAGCACTTTAGCCTAGTTTGGGAAACCCGTCCAAACTAGGCCTAGTTTGGGAATTAAGATGCAAAAAAGGCTTAATATGGGAAAAGCCCCTGAGGACTTTACCACATTAGCCTTAACACAGTCAGACGCAATTAACACCTTATGAAACCCATACGCCAAGCCGATTTCAGTCCTAGCTAAATAGCCCACAACTCCGACACAATAACAATGGCTGATCCGATGTAATGCCGAAAACCACCAAGCCAACTGCCTTGGTCCGACTAGATATTTAATCCACTAAATCATAATTCTCATATTTAAAGTATCTTATGAACTATTTTACTTTTACAAATATTTTTTGAAAACTTAATAATTTCGTGATGTGAACATTCATATTTGACAGTGTGAATATTCACATTATGGAATATAATATTGATAATGTCAATGTAAATATTATTATTAAGATACTGCCAATGTGAATATTATTATTGTATAACATCATTAAGTAAAGAAAAATTTATGAATAAATGCCCCTTTATTTAAATTCAAATAATTTATCATTTAAAAAATTGAAAGCAATGATCAACAATGCTAGGTAACTCAAAATTTTGTGACTCAAATGGCTCAAATCACTCAAAACGACGTCGTTTTGACAGATTTTGAGTGTAAAACGACGTCGTTTTGATAGATTTGAGCCATTTGAGCCACAAAATTTTAAACTACCAAACATTTTCCTGCAATGATATACCAGTCAACTAACGGTTGAATATTTTATTTAAAATTAAAAATAAAAAAGATTAATCAGTTTGTTTGGTTGGAATCTTCAAGTTTCACTTTTCAAAAAATTAAAATTTTATATTTTTCATTGTTTTTTGCTTTTATTAATTTTTTTAATATTTTAAGTAATTTCTTTTAATTTTTAAATACACTTAACATAAATACACTTAAAAAATATAATATTTTTGAAAAAAAAATTTAGAAAATTCACTAAATATAATATAAAATATAACAATTCAATATATTTTTTGTATTATTGTGTATTTATTAATTTTTTAAAATATTTTACTTTTTAGATACAACTAAGTAAGATGTATTTAAAAAGTAAAAAAATTACTTAAAATTTTAAAAATATTTATTAAAAATAAAAATATGATTTTTTTTTAATTTTTAAAAAATTAAATTTAAAAAATTTAAACCAAACCCACTAAATGGTATTTTAAAAAATAAATAAGAAGAAAATAGCGTGAGTTTAAAATTTTGAGAACTGATGGAGAGCCCGAATTCCTCCGCCCCGAATGCCCCTAAACCACGAAACGACGTCGTTTCGTGGTTTTAATTTTTTTTTTTTTTCCAGCAGAAGAAGGAAGACGAAGACGGAGGGGGAGGAGGAAGAGGAGGAGGAGGGGAAGGAGGGGACTGGAGGGGGCCTAAAAAATGGGCTGGAGGTGGAGGCGGAGGCAGGGGGCGCTGTGATCGGCGATGGCAGAGGCGACGAGCAGAGGCATGGCGGAGGCGACGGAGGCGGAGGCGCGGCGATCGGCAACGGATCGGAGACGACGGCGACCCCTCTCCCTCTCCCTCTCCCTCTCCCTCTCCCTCTCCCTCTCCCTCTCCCTCTCCCTCTCCCTCTCCCTCTCCCTCTCCCTCTCCCTCTCCCTCTCCCTCTCCCTCTCCCTCTCCCTCTCCCTCTCCCTCTCCCTCTCCCTCTCCCTCTCCCTCTCCCTCTCCCTCTCCCTCTCCCTCTCCCTCTCCCTCTCCCTCTCCCTCTCTCTCTCTCTCTTCCTCCGCTTCGACCTTCCTCTGCGTCTGTCGTGTTCGTTTGTTATAAACCCCTTGAAGCAAACCCTGAAACCCTGGCCCATGTTGTGCAACGCCAACCCAATCACTCACCGCCACGCGTCCCGCTCCATAGCTCGACTCGTCCGTCGGTCAGTCCCAAACCAAACCAGAGCTCTCAACTCAAAACCAGCTCATCTCATCTAATCTCCCCCCAAAACCCTCCCCAAAACCCTAGTTCTGATAGTTTTCGCATTCTCCGATCAAACTCAACTCTCTCTTTCTCATGGAAAGCTTCACTTGATAAGTAACTGTGAACTCTCCGATCATCTTCTCCGACAATCGGCACTTGAGAATGTTGCGCTTCGCTTCACTGGTTGTGGTGGTTGTACTGAATGTGCTTGTGGTGAGTGTTGCATCGTCGTTGCATTCGGTGTCCGGTCCGCACATAGCTGATGTGAACATATTGTTGCCACCGAAGATGACTCATTTTGTGGAGTATAGGCTCCAAGGAAGTGATGGTTGCTTCAAATGGTAAACATTCGTTCTCTGTTTAATTCATGCTCTCGAGTTTGATGATGTTAAAATTATAATTGAATGCAGAGGGTAGAATCTGTACACATATTGGGACACATATATATGTAGTTGACTATGTTTGATACCAGTCCCAATAGAGTTTTACTTTGTTCTCTTTTCCTTCCATATGTTGATGCATAATTGTAGGGGATGTTTGGTTTGGATTGGGTGCAACCGGGGTGTGTGGTGGATGTATTGTGAAGTTGGAGGGTGTGCCGGGTGGGGAAGAAGCGCGGAAGGCTTGGCATCTTGCGCCACTGTGTTTGATGTGGATGGTTTGCTGGAGCATAATCGGCTGATTTTTCAAGGGGTAGAGGGCTCGATTCCTCGTTTGAAGGATATATATGGTGGTTTAATTGGGTTTTGGGCAGTGCGACTCCGGATTTGTTTTCTGTTATGGATTTTATTGATTCTTTGAACGTATAGATGTAGGTGTGGGTGCTGCTGGTTGTAATTGTTGCATTGTCTTGATGCTCTTTTCCTAATAAATTTACTCTTTATTTATCAAAAAAATAAATAATAAATTGTAGGGGATTGACGGTTCTCTTTGAGTCTAAATTTGAGTAAAAGTTTGGTAAGTGGCACAACTGTAAATTGTCCTTAGAAAGTTGAGTTAAAAAAAGTGTCTCCCTTGATTTGGGTCAAATTTTGAGTAAAACTCATTCGGGTATGAGTTGAGTAATGGAGTGGAAAGAGATTTTGAGCTTTTTTAATCAAATTTAAAATTTGATATGAGTAAAGGATAAGGATTGGAGATGCCCTTAGTGTTGTTGTTATTACTACTGTTGGTCTGTTACTGTTATTATTATCTTGGGTGGTACTTAGTACTTATTTTTCTTGGCAGGTCATGGGATCATCATGACATTTTATCTGTTCTGCCTGAATTCAATTCAAGTGGTCACTTTTTTTTTTTTTTTTTTTTTTTTTTGGGTGTAAAATGGTGATCGGGGGAGCCCCGACATGAATAAAAGGTTTTGTTTGTATGTTATTTTTTTATTTTTGAAGGAAAAAATAAATAAATAAATAAATAAAATAAATAAAGAAATAAAATAAAAGAAAAGAAAAGAAATAAAATGGGGAAAAGTGGGATCAACAGAGATAAGGGTGTATCTGAGTTGTGTGTGGAGTGTGTGCCCATGTGCATAGGTCTGTTGAGAGGGAGAGAGAAAGTGTGTGAGTAGTGGTGGAATCGGAAAAAAAAAATGATAAGTGCGTATCTGAAAAAGATAAAGAAAAGAAAGGTGAAGGAGGTGTATAAGGTGATTAAAAGAAATAAATAAAGAAAGTTTAATAAAATATGAGTGAGTGGGTATATGGTGATAGTGGAATAAAATATGAGTGAGTGGGTCTTCAAGTCTGCCAAAAGGAAGATGCTTATCACAGAGCATTATTGAGTGCACCAGACAATAACAAGATGTGATACCAGGCACAGCAAATGCTTCGAGATTTATGGTATTGAGATGAAACCCAATAATAAGAGAGAACACAGTCGTCGATTGAACTCTTCTTCGAAGACGACGGTGCTGGTCGACGGAAAAACTTGATATTCCGCAAACAACCAGATCTGTCCAACATCTGATTTTTCTTGCTTCTGCTGTTGCAGGCTAAACATGACAGCCAAGTACATAGTATCTGCTGTTTTGGGATCTTTTGCTATCTCATACTCATTTGACTATTTGATGGCTGACAAGAAGATATTTGGAGGCACTACCCCAAAAACTGTTTCGAACAAAGAATGGTGGGAAGAGACATATAGACTGTTACTTACATAAAAAGAAGAAGATAATGTCAGTTTGCTGGTAATATGTCATCATGTGGTTGTAGTGAGCGACAGGATGGTGTTTCCATATCTAAATATTGCTCTTTTCATGTTACAGGGTGTATTTTCAGATTTGTATGTGGTAAAAGGAACTGGAATTGGCCATGAGATTGTTTCTGTGCATTTGCTTGAGCCACAATTTGAACACATGGCAGATAAGATTGTTTTAACTGTAGCAGAAGCCATGTCTCTCGATCCTCCCTCGCCCGTATTTGTGCTTATTGGTGCTACTGTTCATTATTGTCTTAAAGTTATTCGTGGGAATATTCCTCAAGGTCTTCTACTATGAATCCTTCAATAAAAATTTCTATAAGCAAATTTCTTTCTATTTATCTATTGTAATGCCAACTGTCAGGTTTGACAACTCTGCCTCCAGCCTAGAGGCCATGTGTGATAGAAAAAATATATTGATTTTACAGTACTCACTTCTACATCGCAAATTATAGATGCGAAATAATATTCTTTCCATTTGAAGTTAGTTAGCAACGTTCCACTTCTCAATAGACTGTTGGAAATTCTTTTTCATTGAATTGAAGGTGACATGGTTTTGGGGAGTGCTTTTACTTTATCCCCCTCTTTTTTTCCAAAAACTTTTCAAATCCCTTTTCCTTACTGTGTGTATTTTTCTTTTATTGTCAAAGGTGATACCCTTAACCAGAGGATATCAAATGTGGGGAGTTTGGTTGAGAGGCAGTGGGAATAGAAGAGAGATTGGTGGTTATGGTGGTCTTGGAGAGTGATGGTGTTTTGACAGTTACCCTTGATTGTGGTGGTAGGATATACAATTTCTATCATGATGATTGGTTTTGAGATGGATGAGGTAATGGCTGGTCTTATGTGTTTCATATGACCATAAATTCTCTCTCTCTCTCTCTTAAGGGTTTATTCTAAGGACTTTAAAGGGTTGCCATTTTTGTGGTCTTTGGAGATTGGCACTAAGTGTTCTGTTAAAAGCTGTATTTTGGTGCTTCCTTCTTCATGGAGATGGCTACTGGTGGATATAATCAATCTAAAATTTAGCTGTTGGGAATAGGGGCTGACTTGGTGGCTGCAATTTTGAGATTGTGGTGGCAATGTAATATGTTTTTTCTCTGATCTGTTGGAAAAAGGTCCAGTTAGGAAAGTCTTTGGAAGGTAGCTACATTGAGTTTCTCTCGTTGTGTGGTGGAAGGTGACTTTTTGGGCGCATGAGTTCCAGGGGCCTGGGTCTGTTGGAGATGTGGTTTCTTGAGGGAAGTTCTGGTCATGCTTACATTCCCTGGTGTAAAATTTCAGTGGATATGTAGATATATTCAGTAGGCAGACCATTTTTAACTTGACGAATGCGAGAACCATGGGATTCTTAGGAGGACAATCTCCTCATTGACAGGAAATTCGAAGCTGCATCTCTTCTCCATTTTATTCTTTTTCTTAATTTTCTTTTTCTTTTTGGGTTGGGTAGGGGAATTCAAAATTTATTAATGCATAAAGAAAAGCCACATATGATTGGCTGACTTGAACATCAAGTTGTTTTTCATCAAAACTATAGTTCCATTCTTATATTTTCCTCATCAGACACTGTCTGAACTACTTTAGTTCTGTAACTTTTATTGGTTAATTTCTAATAAATATTTCATTTTTCATTGGCTTGTGCAGTGGTAACTTTACCATCTCCTTTCCACTGGTGGTCTGTTTTGAACTCTTCGGTTGCTCAAGTGGACACAATGATGGGTTTTGCTCATGCACTGAGCTTAGGGGTTACATCTGTCATTGTTGAGGATACCAGGGTTGCTGGTCACACACAAATGTCATCTCTCCATGTTGTTGTACCTGATACTTTACATCTATACATGTTACCTCTGTCTCATTATGGTGATCCCATTGATGAAACAAACCCTATTCCATCTGTGTCACGTTGGTATGTTGTTTCTGGCAGAAATTATCTTATTCTCATGAAGGTTTTCCCACGAGGACCTGGTGCAAAAGAAATCTATATTACGGAGGTAACCTGTGCATGTTTTTGCTTTTACCTTTTCAAATGCTACATATGTAAAAGAAGGTCTAGAAATTTTGGATAAACAAAAATGTGTATCCTTGCATGTGTGTGCAATTACTATGGGTGCTATTAATAGCAAAAATTTGTACTAAACTATTTTTTCACAATCATAGAGTACATGTATTCTACTTATTTTAATGACACCAACTATAAAATTGGGAAATAAATAATTAATTATCAACATTAATCACATTTATGCATCACATATTTATAAACTTGTACTTATGGTTGTGTGTTGCTTTAAAAATCTTGAAGACATTTTTTTAAATATATATTATTCATGAGTAACTTATACATTTATAGTGAAGGAATACACACAAATATATTTTTAGGATAGCGGAATTGAATAAATGAGTGCATAATACCACCTTCATCCAATAAATATAGTTTCCATAAAGGAATGGTATAAAAGCAATACTCCCTCTAGCCCAAAATATTAGTCCGTTATTCCATTTTTTATTGTTCCAAAATATTAGTCCATTTTAAAAAATTGAGGACTAAAACAACATGAATTTCCTTTTTTTCCCTTATTTTAAATTCATTAACATTATTTGAAGTGTAATAATTGTACTACCAATGGGTAGTTTTGGAAAGTTAATATTTTTGAAGTATAACAATTATATTACCAAAAAAAGGTAAATTCTTCAAAAGGGACTAATATTTTGGGACAGAGGGAGTATAAATAATTCTACTCTGCACTGATAATGGTAAAAAACTATAGAGGTAACATGGATTTATAATTTTTAGGTTTCCTAATTATTGATGAAGAATTATTTAGGTTTCCTAATTATACCACCTAGTGTATAACTTTTTATCAAATTCATATTTTTCATAAAATTAATCATGAGATTAGCTAATCAAAAAATAAATAAATAAAATTGATCGTTAGATTACATGTACCTCCTATTTTAATCTTGTTTGCCAAATTTAGGTCAATTAGAAATCATGAACTATCTATATATATATATATGTTGGTATTGTTTAATAGAATATGACTCTAACTTGGTGGTCTATCTAGATAATAAGAGAATAATAAGAGAACTTTTAATCCCTGATCAACCTAAAATTTGGCATGCATGAATGACCGGTTTTATTTTATGAAATATGAATCTAGCAAAAAGTTGTGAAACGACGTAATGTAAGACTAAAAAGGTTTTACATTGGATGTAAAGGTATCTCTCCCCATGCACTAAGTCTGTATTATTATTTCTATATTTACAAATTTCTTGTCATTTAAGTAGAAAATGTTATTCAGATATTACTTTACTTCAAATTTTAGCAAACATGGTATTCTTTGGCATTAAAGCAATGTGCTGGTCTTAATATTTATTAAAATGCGATGAAAGAAAAATTAATTCAAAAAGGAGGTAAACTAATGGCAACTTGATAACATAATGGTAATTTTATTTATATAAGGATGGTATTTCATATATATGTATGGTGGAACAAAGATTATTTTTAATTCATCATTAGTGTAAGATGTATAGTCTATATACTCTGTATATAATTGATTGAAATTGTTAAGGACAGGAGAGTAATTATGATAGAAGGTAAATGGCAAATGTAGAAACAAAAGGGTAGATTTGTGTGTTTATAAATCATTTTTGTTGGGGAGTTAAAGTAATTCAACAAGACTAACACCTTGGGTTGTTGAACTAGTCCTTGAGTTAGTCAATTTTCAAAAGAAGATTTTATTTATTTATTTTTTAGAGATCCTTCATATTTTTGCAGCACTTTTGTGTTACTTCTTCTAAGCTACATCTATTGGATCCAAAAAGAGTAACCAATTTCCATGGTTATATTGAGTTATATTTGATTAGGAAAATATAGACTTGCATGGATTTGTCCACAACATTCTGAAAGAAAGCAATGAAGCTCACACATTGGGTTTGGCAATCATTCTCTATATTTGTCATTCCATTTATTTAAAGATTCGTTTGATGTAGTCGTTTTTTCTTTATTTGTTATCTTATCTTACTTTTTCAGTGTGGTTAACTTGTGAATTTAATGTCATTCATTACCATTGTACATTCTTATTGTTCATTTGATCCCTTACCAGTTATTTTTTTGGTTTCCTTTCGCTCAGAATTTCTTTCTTTGCAGAATGATGATGTTAAGTTGCATGACGATCAGTCCGGTTTCTGGAATACTCTCCCAATTTCAGATGATATTGCTGTTAAACATGCGTTGTCCAATTCTAGAATCTTAGAAGCAACTTCATATGGACTAGGAAAGCTGACGGCAACTTTAACGTATAGTACTGGGGTAGATGGAACCAAGGAGGTGATACTTTTCTTATTTATTATTATTTCTTAGGGGAAAATAATTTATGCTACCTTTTGCATTATTATTATTATTATTATTAATTTTCACAATAATCATCCGTCCATTGTCTTTGGCGGTGACCTATGAAGCACCAACACTTCAAAACAAGTGACGTATCCGTGTTGGACACACGGACACTTCGGGGACACGTATGGGACACACTACATGATGTGTCCCATTATTTAATTATTTTATTTTTAGGGGACACACCTGGAATACTTTGGGGACACACTGGGGATTGAGTATTGAATGTTTATTATTATTTTCTTATATTTAATTAATTAATAGATCATCCATAAAACAAGATATAAACTGTAAGTATTAATTTAAAAGTGTTTTTTTAAAATAAAAAAATAGAATTAGAGTTTGTTTTTGTTAATATTGATTGTTTGTGGATGCAATATTAATCTAGCTAGCAGATAAAAATATATGAAAAAATATTTTATTGTTGTGTTCCTGCCGTGTCCGTGTCACAATTTTTTTGAAATTGCCATGTCCGATGTCCGCATCCGTGTCCGCATTTGCGTCCGTGTCCGTGCTTCTTAGGCGGTGACTGCTTTGCAAGCAGAGATATGCATCTAAACTTGTCACAGTATTGATGATATTTTCGTACAGGTCCTCAAGGTTGTGCAAGAAATTATGGTCTGCGATCAAGTGAAATTCATTATCGACAGTACAGATGTTGTAACTCAAAGTATTCTCCTTCCTTGGGCCCCCACTGTCTATCAGGAGTTGGAACTAAAGGCAACAGGAGGTAGCAGCCTTTTAAAGTATTTTGTTCTACCTAGGTTTTTTTTGATTGTTGTGAGGAGATAACTGACTTCTGACAATTCCTATGGACATTTGATGGCATTGGATATTTTAGGTTGTGCAAAAGTGTCCAGCGACTATAAATGGTTTTCCACAGACATGGGTATTGTATCAGTATCTGCCTATGGGGTTGTGCAGGCAAAAAAGCCTGGTAAAGCTACCATCAAAGTAGTATCCAATTTTGATCCATTCAATTATGATGAGGTAATGAGTAATGACACACGGATAAAGTATATTGCTTGCTCATGTTTGTTTCTCATCCTATTAGACATGTAGTTTCTAATTGTTGAGATCAGTGAAGCGGATTCTTGAGCTTTGTTCTGCCCCAAAAGCGATATTTTGTTGTTGAGGACAATTTCTATTACATTCAATCCTATGATTTTAAAGCTCCTTGAAACTTCTTAGTAATTTGATTGATTGCTTCCTCAGTTCACCTAAGACATTACTTAACTCAAAATTCAAAACCTTGTCGATTAATTTGGTTTTAGACATTCTAAACTTAAAATGATTAAGGTGTACTTGTTTTCATTTTAATTAAAAAAATAAAATTTATGATTTCTGTTTAATATAATTCATATTAAAACTATATGTTGATATGAAGAAAATCTATTTTTGAGCTGAATTACTTTTAGTGTGCACTTCTTTTTTCCTTGGGAAATTTTCCATTCCAAGTTCAAATTCATTTTAAGAATGGTAATACATCTTCTGAGATTTTGTGACTCGGTGTTCAATTTTTGGATGGCCTGTGTAATATGCCCTTTGCGATCGACTCACCAATCACCATGCCACCGATGTCCCCACAAAGCATTTCTTGATAACAAATTTTCAAATAAATGTTGGTCTGAATATTTTCTTTTTCCTGTTCCAAGAATGATGATGCAGCATCATTATGTATCTTCTACCATTTTGGATAACTGGTGAACTGCTTGCATGTAGCTGCTAACTGGCTGTATGGATGGATATTCAAATAAGATGAAAACATCCTATGAGACGTTATAGAGAAAAGTTTCTGAATTTTACTTCATGCATCTTTGTTGGCTCCAGTGTCCCAGAAGAGGTCCTTTTTAAACTGGTGCAGTTTCTGAGCTTGGAAATCTAAGTATTCCAGACATTATGAATCTCAGATATTGCGCCTGTTTAAATGTTATGCACTTCTTCAAATGGCTTCCAATTTTCCTCAGCACCCCCTCCCCTTTTTATTTTACGTATTCATAATTGTATTTTATGTATAGGTGATCATTGAGGTTTCCATCCCTTCTTCTATGGTTGTGTTGCCGAACTTTCCAGTAGAGACCACTGTGGGGTCACATCTTCAAGCTGCTGTGACAATGAAAGCATTGAATGGTGATGCCGTACTCCAGATATTCTGGATCATTTCTTTTGTTGTAATTTTTTTTAAGTAAATTTTTTTTGTTATTTTCTTTGTTGATGTCACTTTAGCAATGCAGGTGCCTACTTTTATAGATGTGATGCTTTTAGTTCCTCTGTGAAGTGGAAAACTGGAAGTGAATCCTTCACAATTGTCAATGTGACTGGAGAGTCGTTTGTCGTTGACATGCTATATGGCCCTCCATGTGCGTGGACCTATGTTTATGCTTCTAGTTCTGGTCACACTATGTTACATGCAACGCTGTCTAAGGAATATCAACACTTTGATCATTCTTTTAGTGGGCCGGTTATTTTGAAAGCCTCCTTGCGCATTGCAGCATATCCATCACTTCTTGTGCATCAGGTAGGTGACGGAAATCAATTTGGTGGTTACTGGTTTGATTTGGCTCAAGCTGAAGCCAATAATCAGCTGGGAAATTTGGAGGACTTATATCTTGTCCCTGGCACACATTTGGATGTTATGCTTCGTGGAGGACCAGACCTGTGGGGCCAAGGTGTTAAGTTCATTCAAACTGTGGAAACTCTAGTAGAACATACTCTTTTTAAAGATGGCGTTGTTGTCCATCAAATATCTACCAGTTTTTCTAGTCCTTACAGAATTTCATGCCAAAAACTGGGAACCTTCGTAAGTTTTTGCACTTACCTGGCTTTCTTTGTCTTATACAGTAATATACTTGATTTAACATAATCATGAAGGATGTTTTTCTTTTGTTTCAAATATGTAATAACCCAGAGAATTGTTTTCAAACGTGGAAACTTGGTTGGAGATGACCATCCTCTGCCTGCTGTAGCAGAAGTGGGACTGTCGCTTAGATGCAGCTTTCCTTCCACTATTGTACTAATAGCTGATGAACCTGGTATGAGGATGATACCCTTTCATCAATCTGGATGCAGGCATATTCTTTTAATCTTACTGTCTTTCAAATCAATGATATGAATCTTATTTTAATTTGTTGGAAATAATTGTTCTCTTATTTGAATAAATTTATTCCAAGCTTTTAGCGAATAAACTTGATGTTATTTGGAGTACAATTCAAGCCGACCGTGGTCAAGGGCGAGTGCGTGCTACTCCTATCACTGTAGCAAATGGGCGCACTATTCGAGTATCTTCAGTAGGTATAAGTGATTCTGGAAAAGCTTTTGGAAACTCATCTGCTCTCCATTTAAGTTGGGAACTCAGCAATTGTGATGGTTTGGCATCTTTGGGTGATGCCTATGATTTAGCAACATCCAAATCCAGCTGGGAGAGGTTTTTGTTATTGCAGAATGCGTCAGGATTGGTACTGCCAAAACTTTGATATGTTTAAATTTATTTTATATCATTGTATTAATCAGGGTTTAGGTTTTTTATGATATGTAATTTTTCCCTTTGGGTCTTTAGGTGAGAGGCTGGACCTTGGCATTGCAGTACCTTAATATCGTTGATTTTGTGAATATCTGTGTCTTCTAATGAATTAAGGGGAAAAAAATGATGTAATGCTGTCCAAAATTCTATTAGAAGAACTGATAATTTGATAATCTAGTGCTTTTTCTTTGCTTCTAGGCCCTTCTTATAAAGATGTTATATTTAAATTGTTATCTTTCATGCTTTCTTGACATTGGATGTGAGCTGAAATGTTAATATTTTGACTTTTAATGCATTTCATTTTGACTTCTCAGTGCATTGTTCGTGCTACTGTTTTTGGGTTTTCTGATAACATGGTTGATGATCATTCTACTGTACCATTTGAAAACTTGGAGAGTAATCTTACAGATGCTGTACGTTTACAGGTATGTTGTTTATTATTTAATTTCTATGCAGATTCTTGGGGCCTGTTTGGTTGCACTTAATAGTATGAATGCCTGTAACTTTGCAAAAAAAAAAAAATGTGATTGTGAGCTCATTTTGGACTTATCTCGTTAATTTAAATTGTATATTTTGTAAAATTTATCAAATAGATCACGCATAAAAAAAATAAATAAAAATTGAATACTAATAGTTACTTGGACCATTCATAATCTTTGCACTTGCATTTCCAGAAACAAACTCCTAAACACATTTGCAGTTGTTCCCCCTTTTCTTGTTTTTCATTTTCTGTTGAAAGTGGAATATTGTTTTGCAATAAAAACTAAAGAATTTTTTTTTTTTTTTACCTTAGTTGCTTGAGGTTCATGGTTTATCTGGTTGGTTATTTTTACTGTTTATTTTATTTGACTTCTTTGGTTTTATTTTTCTGCTCATAGTGCTGTTTGAAATGCAGCTAGTTTCTACTCTAAGAGTCAACCCGGAATTCAGTTTGTTATTCTTCAGTAATGATGCTCAGGTAACCTTGATGCTATTATATGTTAATCTTTGTCTGGCCAGTAAAGGTGCCATGAGAATGATGCACTTCTTTAGTAGTGTTTAGGAGATTGCTAAATCCACAACCGTTATGGCTGCATCCAGATTCCACAGCCTCCTTTCTCATGTGGGGTCCACCTATGTGAGAGGGAACAATGTGGGTAAAGCCTAAAAGTTATGATTTTAGCAGTGGCATTGTTTTGTATTTTATCTGTTTGCATCTTGTCTTATCATGACCAGATCAAAGTCTGGATATAGTTTTAGCTCAATCAACTTATTGCAATAATGCGGTGATAAATTCTGGTTATTAGTCTGTGTCATGCACACTGGTAGACCATATGATGACAATATTTGTTACTGAATTTCATCATTAATGTTCAAGCCTTAACTAGGATTGAACTTGTTTGCTGCCTAGGGCTTTTTGGTTTAAAAAATGAAGCTGCAGAAATTATTCACGGGCCTGCTAAAATATAAATGAAATACAAATATGTTATCGACCAAGTGGCAAGACTACTAGATGGTTCCTTCGCATGATGATGAGCATATTTAAACCTAATTGTGCTAAAGATGTTCAAATTGATCCCTGGATAAAGCTTATGAAAAAAAATAAATAAATTTGATGCTGGATAAAAACCATATTCAGAATACCTTCCGCAAATTTTCCTCTAGTAAATTGAAGTGGTTGTCCTCAAGCTCAAAACCACAGTTTTGCACTTAATAAAATGATATTCTATGATGTGACCAAACAGTGGCTCCTATATTCTATATTTTTTAGTTTCCAGAGAGTAGGGACAACTGTTCAAAAGTAAACATTATGAACCACTTATATATTGGATGTTTCATTCATCAATTAGTTATTTAATAACTTAGATGACTTTTTAATTTTTGGATAAGCAAAGGAAGAATCCATTAAAGATGCCAAAGGGGGCCACAACTTCTGTACACTAGATGTGTGCAATGTCAAGATAAAAAACTATCAACAAGACTAAGCTCTTCTATGAAATCTACCAAAAGAAAAGGAAGATTCACAAACCTTCCCTTTGAGCTAAAAATAAAAAGTCAGTAGTAAAGATCTCTTTAACATCTTTAGATGACTTTTAAACTTAACAAGTTATGAAGACCATCCGTTTTACATTGGAGTTCCAGTATTGAAATACACATACTTTTTGGTGTTTCTGAAAAGATAAGTTTTAGATGTCCAATGTTGTTCAACTGTAAAAAGACATCGGCACATTTTGGTTTTATCACCCAATACTTGGGCTTCTCATATGAGATGCTTTTTTCTTTTCCAGCTAAATCTCTCAATCACTGGAGGAAGCTGTTTTTTGGATGCTGTTGTTAATAATTCTCAAGTTGTAGAAGTGATTCAGCCACCATCAAGTTTACAATGCTCGCAGTTAGTACTGGCTCCTAAAGGGTTGGGAACTGCACTTGTTACTGTTTATGACATTGGACTTTCACCTCCACTTGCTGCTGCTTCTGTGGTAATCTTTCCCATTTTTTATGTTTTCTTTGCGTGATTTGTCCACCCATTAGAATCTGTCAAAAATTTCCTTTTAGTTTTGCTTCTTACATGATTACAGATTTGCAATTCTAATTTCTATTGCTTGTATTGAAGATAGAAAATCAGGAGGTTAAGATATAAGATTACAGAGTCCCACGTGCCTGGTGAAGTATGTGTCAAATGACTCATTGGTGTGAGCTGTGGACCATCATTGTACAACACATTTAAACCCATGCGAGCCTAGCCCAAAGGAAACAATATTATACAATGTTGGGTCAAAGCAAAATATGACATTATAAAAAAGATTGTGTTGTGATACTTTGCTGTTACCTTGATTTCCAGTTATTTATGGTTTATACGTCAAAATAAATGCAATTTCTAATCAAAAGCAAGGATTTGTTTCTTAATTTTCAAAGTTTGAGGACAACTTTTTTAGCATTACAGTATATTATCAAAAGGTTAGATCCCCCATTTTTTAAATTTTTTTTTTGGGAAAAAAGTGCTTGAGTTTTACCAATTGACTGGCTTATTATATGACAAACTATTTGAGTAATCTGATCTGATTTTTCTCTGCCAGTAAGAATCTTCCTAACTTCTGAGGATCACAGAGGTCAAATGTTTCTAGATTTTCTAATTAAAGCATATAATGTGTCTCCATTTTTATTTTTGCCTACAGGTTCAAGTTGCCGAGGTGGACTGGATTAAGATCACTTCACCGGAAGAGTTAAGCCTTATGGTATGGGTCACTGGGTGATTTGTTTTCTCTTTTACTGTTGTTATATGCTTACCACGATGTTTGCAGGAAGGAAGTTTGCAGTCTATTGATTTTTTGGCTGGAATTGATGATGGAAGTACTTTTAGCTCTTCCCAGGTTCGAAGATCCATAAATTATCTTTCAGAATATATTTTTTTGATTTTGTTTTCTTTAATGCATGAATTTTATTACAAGAAGTGATATATTTACTCTGTTTTGTACCAGTTGAATCGACTCACTGGCTTTCATGTGACTAATGGAATCCCTGTGTTATGGAGCTTAACATTTCTTTCTTATTCTATTATTAAAGATCTAACTGATATTCCTTTAAAACAAAAATAAATCTCTTCTCTAACACTGAGAGGTTCCATGATTAATAATCTTTGTTGCAGTACATTTACATGAGTATTCGTGTCCATATTGAGGATCATGTAGTGGAGCTTGTAGATAGTGATGATTTCCCAAGTCTTATTGATGGATATGTGAAGGCACAAAATTTCATAATTCGGGCTAGACATATTGGGGTTACCACTCTTTATGTGAGTTACTGATTTTTCCTTTTGTAAATAAATGTTAATTTTTAAAATTGCATTGTGCTGGCAAATATTAATCTGGATTTTGGAATTTAGGTCAGTGCACGACAACAATCTGGGCAAGAAATATTGAGTCAGCCCATTAAGGTTGAAGTCTACGCACCACCTACACTTCATCCTAGTGATATTTTTTTGGTACCAGGTGCTTCCTATGTGGTATGTTCCAAATATTTCCTCCATTTTTTTTCACCTTTTCCTTTTAAACTACACATTCAAACAAAACTAGTAAGTGGTCAAAAGAGTCCTAAAGTTGCGTTTGAACTATAGCATTCTTTATAATGAATAGCCATTTATTTTTCTTTTTATTTTCTTAATACAAATAATATTATTAATACCTTATTTTTCCTGAGTGACTTGATATTGTAATGTTTAATTTTTCCTTCATTCAGCTTACTGTGAGAGGAGGCCCAACCATTGGTGCCTATGTGGAGTATGCTAGTATTGAAGATGGGACTGCAACAATTCACAGATCTTCAGGACGACTGTCTGCAGTTTCACCTGGAAATACTGTAAGACTTGATCTCAAGTTGAGACTTAAACTGGATCATTTAGGATCACATATGTAGAGCATTAAACATTAAACATTGGTTACATTACAAGTATTTTTTTTTTTCTGAAGTGTCCTTATGTGAAAGTCATAGTTATGGTTGTGTTCTCTGGTTCTTTTCCTCGAATCAATACACACCAACTCCCCCATTGAGGCTGCCTGAGAACTAGTTTGTTTGGTACTTCTAAATGTATTTTCAGGTTTCTTTGTTATGTCGTTGTGGATTGTTATCCGTTCTCTCTACTTTCAATCAATGGCATCAATTTGATTCTGAAAAGGGACATTCTGTTCATCAAAACCCTTCTCATTCAATCCCATCAATGGGGAGTTTATTCAGGCTCCAAGTAGAGCTGCCAAATATTGGACCCAGACTGACCAACCTAACTGAACTAAATGGGCTAACTTGGCATTTTGTTAAGGGGGTTAGTTTGGGTAAGTCATATCAAAGTGATTACTAACAGGAGAAGCTAACTATTTTATCGGGCCTGCCAACCTGATACTGACTTCATTTTTTTTTAAAACTTGATTTGGTTAGAAGTTTTGACAATTTTGAAATGATTTTTAAATAGACCATCTATGAACACTTTCCCTGCAAATAAATTGGTCTGTTTCAGGTTGGCTATTTTAGGATCCTCTTGATCCCAGTCCTTCCTAACCACTTGCCAGCACGATCTATCTATAACTTGGAGGGAAATAAATTGGCTTTTGAAATTTATTGCTTTGCATCTTTTGCGAGTTACTGTAACATTGTAGCTTAATACTATATGTTTGTTATATTCAGACTGTAGTTGCGACAGTGTATGGCAATGGAGATATCATGATTTGTCAGGCACATGGCCAAGTCAGAGTTGGGATCCCTTCTTCTGTGAAATTGAATGTACAGAGTGACCAGCTAGCTGTTGGTCGTGAGATGCCAATATTTCCTTATTTTTCTGAGGCAAGAACTTACTAATACATATATATATATATATATATGTATATTCTTTTTTCAGTTTCACCTATCTCCTGTCTCCTTGTAAAATGTTCACTAACGATTGATATTTACAGGGAAATTTGTTTTCCTTTTATGAGCTCTGCAAGAATTACCAGTGGACTATAGATGATGAAAAGGTAAGGTCATCTGCTATTTTTATTTTAACTGCTTGTGATTTCTCAATTTGTTATATACATGAAAATAGCTGGTTATTTCCTGTTTCCCTTGTTTAGGTATTGATTTTCAAAGTTGCAGAGCACTTACATGATGACGAGTATGGGATCCCAACTGCTAGACTGAAGGAAATTACATCCACCAGCTATTTGCATGAGAAAGACCTTGGTTTTATTGAAGTGTTATATGGAAGGTATGCTTAGTTGTACAAGCATATTGTCATTTACTGGGTCAATATGATTCTTGAGAAATAGATTGTGCAACTTTTTTGCGGTTTGGAAGCTTTCATTAAAATTTGAACCAATGAAACAAGTTCTCTTGCACCATGGATCGATACACATTTCACTTTACAATTGAATATTGAATACCTGTATGCAATTTTCAACCTATCTTCAACGGAAACTAACTGAGGCAGTAGTAAAGAGATGTGATACAATGACGGTAGATGGAAGTGCTAGGAGACGGGGTAGACATAGTTGACGTTGACTAGCGTAGTTAATAGAGATATGAATCTACTTAATTTGACTAACGAAATGGCCTTTGATAGAGCCGTGTGGAGAAGAAGGGTTCATGTAACCAACTCCATTTGATGAGACTTAAGGCTTGATTTGGTTTCGCAAATAAACAAACTTTATAAGAAAAGTATCAAGATGATGCAAAGAATACAAAAATTGAGTCTCTTAGGGGGAAAATAAAGCTAAGGTATCAAATTAACCTAGGAATTTTAGGGTTATTTGGCATTTATAATACTTGTGGATGACTTCAAAGTTCAAACAAACCCAAAAGTTGCCACCTCCCAAAATTTCCCAACCAAAAACAAAAGAATGAAAAGAATTGTTTGGCTTTTCTCATGAATAAGGTAAAGGTTATGTATATATAATAAACTCATGATACAATTTAGGAAACGATATAAATAAGGAAACAATACTAAATCAGTGATTGACTCAATCACATATTATCTTCACACCCCTTCAAGCTGGTGTGAAGATATTCAACAATCATATCTTGCCAATGGATGACTGAAAGAAGCTGAAAAAAATTAAACGGCTAGTCCAAATAAATGTTACCGAACAAATTTGGTAGTCCACTAGATAAAAAATGCTAAAAAGTACTTAATATATCAGCACTACACTCTAGAAAAGGAAAAAAAACAGGGGCTGAACTGCTCTAAAAGAGCTGCCGAAACATCTATGGCCATGAAACACCATGGTTGGCAGCTAACAAGACCTTGGTCGACATCATTGGTCGAAGTTAATGCCGGGAGATAGTTTATGGTCGAGCCGGACCGTTGTAGAAACTGGTCGGAACTAATGTCGGGATAATTTAAGATCATGCTGGACTGTTGTGGGAATTGATTGGAATCAATGTCGGGATAGTTTACGGGGTCATGCCAGACCGTTGTAGGAACAAACTGAAATCAATATCGGGATAGTTTAAGGGGTTATGTCGGACCGTTGTAGAGACTAACCAGAATCAATGTCGAGACAGTTTAAAGGGGTTATGTCGGACAGATGTAGAGAACTAGATGTTGAACTAGTAAGTGTGACACATACATAACTTATGACATGGTACTGAACGTTGATGGCAATAGATGACTGAGTGCGCAAAGGGGCGGCTGACAACTTATTAGATAATGCGCCAGGAGGGCGGCTTAGGTGGTGCACCAGGGGGGCAACTTAGGTGGGGGCAACTTGGGTTGTGGGCCCGATGGGGCGGCTTAGGTGGTTCACATGGTATATCACCATGCTCACCATGATATAGGTATAATACCTTTCCTTAAACTCAAATAAGTTTGAAGATAAAAACTTATTTGAGGTTGAAATAGAGAGAAAGACAAAGTGGAACAGAAGCACACAAAAAAATGGATTGTGAGTAAAAAAAAAAATATGATAAAGATATTTGAGATAGGAATAAACTAGTAGATAGAGGAAGAGATCAGGACGAAGTGATATTAAAAGAAATTATGGCAGTGGAATGGGTTGAGGTTTGGCAGGCGGCCAAAGCAAGGCTGCCGCTCACCGGTGAAGCAAAATTACTAGGTACTTAATCTAGCTTTGATACCAAAAAGAATGAAAAAAATTATTTGATTTTTTCCATGAATGAGGTAGATGCCATGTATATATAATAGATTCAAGATACAATTTAGGAAACGATATAAATAAGAAAATAATACTAAATCAGTGATTGACACAATTACACATTATATACATAATACTAAAAATAAAAAGATTTTATATATTCTAATTTCTATATTCAACAAAAGCCAGACTATTTCTTGCAAGCAGAAAGTGAGCTTTTACTTAGATCCACTTGAGGATTTTATGGAGCTATAAATTGAACTTATAGTTCTGCCATTCATCCATTATTATTGATCTTAGTCATTTGTTTCCCTAAAATACTGAAATATGTTTTTCTTATCACTATGATGTAACTTTTTTCTTTTTTCCATTCTCCCAAGCAGTGTTATTAAAGTCGCGGCTAGGTGTGCGCCTATGTCCAAGTCCCATCCAGGCCTACAGCTTGCACCTCGTAGTGTTCTAGGCTAGGCGATTTCGATAAAGTGCCTAACTGGTCGAAGGCACAATAAGGCCCAAGGCTTGTGTCTTGTGCGTTTTTTTTATTGTAGCTTTAATTGGTTTTGTTTAAAATCTGACCATTGATTTAAAATGGTGAAGTTACAGAAGATCTCTACTCTTATTACAGATGCCAATACATCGGGCATTCAATACCAAATCAATGATAGAAAAAAAATTAGCCCTAATTCCTAATATCTGAAGAACACTAAATATTTAACATTTCATTTTGTTTATGTTGAACTCTAAATTATTTACTTATATTAATTTTTTTTTTTTTTTTTCGTACAAGGTGCGCCTCACTTCGGTGAAGCCTGCGTCTCGCCTTGCGGCTTGAGCCTAGGCCCCAAGAGACCTTGGCACCTTAGTGCGCCTATTGTCTTTAATAACACTGCTCCCAAGGGTGGGGGTTGACTGTTAAGTTTATGTACCTTTTCAGAAATTTTCTATATTGGGCTTATCTAGCTAATGGGGAGAACTTGGATGATTGTGGAAAGAAATTATTTATTAGCTTCCTTTGAGCTCATTTTGGGAGCTGTTGTATAATGAGGAGCATTTTATGACATCAAGCCTTAGAAATTCATCAAGTTTGTGAAGGTTATGATGAAAATGAAACAGTACTTGATAACAATAAAGGAGAGATTCATTTAAATTGAAATGGGTCCATGAATCTAAGTAATGAAGAGAATTCTTGATGTCTCTCAATTTGAATTTTATCTGAAGTTTAGAGTCTAGACATTACACTTTCAATGACCCCAGAGCAACATTGTACAATAAACTTTCTTTGAAGCTATGATCTGTAGGGTGAGATTTCTCCCAATATCATAATTTTCATACTTTTTTCTGCCTGTCCACTGAGAAGAGAGGAGGGGAGCAAGGATGCTCATTTTTGTTGAAAGATGTTATATAGCACTGCTGATTTAAAAAAAAAAAAAAAAAAAAAAAAAAAAAATAGATGTTATATAGCATTAGTGCAAACACATAAGAGACGAGCGGAGTGAGCATGCTCATATTTGTTGATAGATGTTATATAGTACTGCCAAAAGATGTTGTATCTCACTTGTACATATTTCATTGGGATCGTCACTTGTGCAGCTTCTTCACTCGAATTTTGTTGCAGTCCAAGCTAAATTATTTTGTCATCTAGTGTATACTGGTTACTACTTTTCTTCCATATTCATGTTATTTGATTTCATCAACATTTATGACTCCATTTCAGATCTTCCGGCAGAACAGAAGTTGCAGTATCATTCTCTTGTGATTTTATTTCTTCTGGTTCATTCTCACAGTCGATGTCTTACACTGCATCTACATCTTTATGGGTGGTACCTGATCTTCCTCTTGCTCTTGGAGCACCAATGACTTGGATCCTTCCTCCTCATTACACTTCATCAAATCTTTTGCCTTCATTTTTGAGTTCATACAGCCAATACGATGCTCAGAGTCACAAAGGAACAATATCTTATTCTTTGTTGAGACAATATGGTGGAAAGAACGAAGAGGTGCAGAAAGATGCTATATCAATAGATGGGGATAGAATAAGAACGATGGAGAGTAATAATCTTGCATGCATTCAGGCAGAAGATAGGTCAACTGGAAGACTTGAAGTTGCGTCTTGCATTAGGGTTGCGGAGGTATAAACATGTCATGTTATTCATGTATTGCTATGATATTGCATATGTGTTGAACATTAACTATTTTCTTATGTTAGACCTGTCTACAAAGATTTGTCCTTCCAACACTTCAAATTTTAAACTTATTTAGAGGTTTATCTGAGGATAAAATCTGACTTTCAATGTTTGTCACTAACATTCTTTAATGAAGGGGGTTCTTATTTAAGAAATACAGGATCATTTTAGTTAAATTTTTTTGCAAGGCTACTAACCTTGTAAGCCTAAAACTGCAGCGTAATTTATATATATATATATATTTTATGTTATATTGGATCTGAATAGCTATTGGAGATAGTATATGGTTAAGAAATGTTGGTCCAATATAAAATTGTCAGGTCCACTCTATTGAAGTTGGGCTGGTAAAATCAGTTAGTTTCATCTACAGATACAATTTTGATTGGCAAGTTGGAGATCTGATCAATAATTATGAACTGGTTGTTTATGGTATCTCAGGAAACAAAGGAGGGCAACCAGTCATAAAAATATGGCTTTGGTTTTTCAAATATACAGATACATTGCAGAATGAAATGAAGTTTAGGCAGACAACATAGGAGGGTTGTATTGGTTCTTTATCACGTGAGACGTCACACATGGAATTAAGAAAATTTAGACTTGTTTGGTGGCTTGTCTGAAACTAGTTATTTGTAGTATTTATGCGTAGTTATCTGGATCTGGACTGATCCTTGTGCTTTTACATGTTTACCTTTTTGACATCTGCATATATATATTTTTGACACTTTTTCAATGCTTAATAACTTACTAATGCACCTGTTCCAAAAAAAAAACTTACTAATGCACTGGTCTGCTTTATTTTGTGATTAAGGTGTCTCAAATAAGAATAACCACCAAGGACGTTCACAGAATTGATCTTGCTGTTGGTGCTGAACTTGATCTTCCAATAAGCTATTACGATATCCTAGGTAATTAGCTTTTATTAATGTGATTTATCAATAACTTACTAATGCACCTGTTCCAAAAAAAAACTTACTAATGCACTGGTCTGTTTTATTTTGTGATTAAGGTGTCTCAAATAAGAATAACCACCAAGGACGTTCACAGAATTGATCTTGCTGTCGGTGCTGAACTTGATCTTCCAATAAGCTATTACGATATCCTAGGTAACTAGCTTTTATTAATGTGATTTATCAATTATTAGTCTGCACATTCATGGTGGCATCTGATAGACTGATGCTGTATTCTCATCAATTTGCTCTCAAACAGGAATCCCTTTCCATGAGGCTCATAATGCCATTCTCTTTAATGCTGAGACTAACTATCCTGATATTGTCTCCATTAATGTTACTAGTGATGGCAATGGGAATATCCAACTTAAGGTTTGTGATGTCTATTGTTTTTATGTTTCTGTTTGGCCAGAGTATTTTCATGTGGACACTCCCATCTTCTGCACAAATATATTGCACCTACATAGTCTTAGCTATGTTTCTAACCATCTTTTGCCTGGCCATACCATAACTCTCACTCCTGCATTCTTATTCCTGATTGAAGGCAGTGCGACATGGTAGAGCTCTTGTGCGAGTATCATTCAACAGTAATCTGCAGAAGTCGGACTACATTATGGTAACAGCTAATCCTCTTCAAATCCTGGAAATATGTTCCTTTAAAAGCAGATATTCCTTTCTTTCATAGGATATTAGAGTGTTGAAATTGTACAAGAAAACTGCAGGAAAATGTTTACTTTTGCATGATTATGTCCTGAAAATAGTTTGCCTCTATAAACTGCAGTAATTCTAGAAATTGTTCAAAACACTAGTCCAGTCATTTTTACTTAAAAACCCTTCTCTCTTTGTAGCATTTTTCTTTGCTCACCATAAACATGCACACACATGTATGCACCCATACATGCATTTGACTTTTTTGATTGTTTGCAGACACCTGCATAGTGGTGCAAGATTAGCACCAGACGCTAGATGTCTAGAACTAGGATATTGTTGAGGACAATACAGTTGAATGTGTAAGGAGAGGCTTCTGTTTGTGCTAGATGACACAAGCAGCAAGCGATAGAGGTTTGGAATTCTATAAGTGAATGCTGAAGCCAGATCTAATGGCTGATATACTTATTTGTTGCAATTATAAATTAAAACCTTCTAAGAAATTTATTTTTGAATCACTCAGTTCTCTTTTTCTGAGATTGTTTTACATGGATAATTTTAGTTTGGGCTGCATGTGAGCTTATTTATGATTCTCTGTTCCAATGAGTTCATAATAATTCTAGATTATGTTTAAATAAGTCCTCAATTTTTTAATTTTTTTATTCTGCTTTCAGTGCAAGCCTTTTCTGGTATTTTTTATGTAGTTCTCTTTGCAATTTAAAATCACTGTTAAATTGTGAATTTCTTCAGATTTCAGTTGGTTCTCATTTATACCCTCAGAATCCAGTCCTCCGCCTTGGAAGTCAGCTCAACTTCAGTGTAGAAGGTTGGTGTATGATAAAATTTTACATTAATTTTCAGTTGGTCACAACTAAAACTCACAAATCCATTTTGGAAATCTAGATCTAAAAGACAACATTGAATTAATGTTTAAAAAGCCATACTAATTGTATCTGTCAAGTAGAAATCTTAGTCTGAAATTGATGAATAATTCAAATGCTATTTTTTTTTTGTTTCTGAAGACAAAGTGGAGCTTTAAGTTAATTGTTACTTTTCCATTTTCCTTTTGTATGGTAGGATTAAATGATCTAGTGTTTGGCCATTGGTTGAGTGCCAATGAAAGTGTTATATATGTGGACATGATGTCTGGAAAAGCTGAAGCCATTGGGGAAGGTACTACTCGAGGTATTGAGCAAAACATTTTCCCCTTTGCTGTTTTAGATTTTCAGTAAACTATTTTAATGGATTTCTTGTCTCTGTACTTTTTAGCATGATTTGACTGGCTTGAATATAATGGTGCTGATTTACCTTGCCTGGAACTCATTTCTTCGAACAGTGATCTTTAAAAATTCAAGTTTGAAACTGCAAACAGAAGTTACAGTGTTGAAAGGGACTATTGTGTTTATTGATGCTCCCAAAGAGATGTTAACAAATGTTCCCATCCCAGCAAAAGGATATAGCTTCCCTGTGAGGTTCAGGTTTGTAAATTGGCCTTTTTGTCTTGACAGCAACTAGAATTTAGCACATCTTTATGTCCATTGCTTGAAAGCTAATGATATTAAGATTATTTCCCTGGATTTCATTTTGGTCATACATTGTCTATAATTTCTGGAATTCGTGTCTTTGGAAGACAAATGAACTTGTAGAATTTACATACTCAAAATAAAGGTTCTGCCTTGAGAATTTCTTAATTGAGCATGTTCAATTCAAACCTTTTCTTTTCTCTTATGTGCTGCTACCTTAAAAATTCTTGCGTAGAAATTTCTCTGCCTTGACATTGTAGTATTTGAGTAATCGACTTTGTGAAAATAGCTTGTCTGCTTCCTTAATTGCTAATCAAACCGTCTACAACTTTTCCAGTGGTGTTTCAATTAGGTTTCCTTTCCAAAAGTTATACGAAAACTTGTTTAAAGCATTTTTCTTTTCGTGAGTGTATACATTGCTATTTCATTGTCAATTTGTCTGAAATCCTTATATACGAAGTTGTTTATTGTTCAATTGGCGGCTTGCAAAAATGATACAGAATCTCTTGGAAGCTTGTACAAACAAATGCAAAATGAGAAAAGAAAATTTTGCATGTTTTCATCGTGGGGAACATTGCATCAACTCCCTGCAAAGAGTTGGGAGGGGTGGGAATTAAGAGACTAGGAAGAAATTTGATAATCACTTAGTGTGTACAGGATTATTTGGCACTTGTTACACTGTAAGAAAAATAAAATGAAAAATTCTGATGAAAATGTTTCAGTATCCGTTTCAGTATCACCTTTAATCTTATATTGTTTGAGATTTCATTTCTATTATTGCAAATTTTTAGTTTTTTGGATGGTTGTATTTCATTTTGATAGTTTCTCTCAATGGATTTGATCTCCATTGCTTGTATCTTCTTTCATTATGTGTTGTTAACCTGTATATGTTTGGCAGCCCATCACTATTAAATAACGTACAAAGGTATTTTTTCTTCTAATTGATCTATTTGTTTTATTGTGAAAGTGATGATCATTACCACAAGTCTGAAGCTCCTCTGAACGACGTGCAAGTCCTGTATGACTGTAGAGTGGACCCACCTTTTGTCGGGTTTGTTCCTGTCTTGCTCTTTGCTCTTGTTTTGCACGAAACAACTAATCTACAGTTTCATCCTTCAATGTTGCTTTCATTCTTGTGGATTATAGATATGCAAAGCCATGGAAGGATCTCTCTGGAAATTCATATTGCCTCTTCTTCCCTTACTCTCCGGAGCATTTAGTACATTCTATTCCCAAGTCAAAAGACATGAGACAGGATTTATCTGTTTCTATCCATGTTTTGTTAAGAGGAGCCAATCATATCTCTGGGTCTGCATCTGCTTCTGCCCTCTTTGTTGGAGGGTTTTCCATTTTAGAAATGGACAAGGTAATAAAGTTCCGCATGCATATTTCCTGTGGTCTATTTATTTGCATAAATATTTGCTGATCACATTAGCTCTTTTCAGCATTTGTAGCAATTTGAGTTATTTAGAAAAAACTGATTTATTATAGTTGGATCCTTTTGAGCCATTGAGCAGAATTCAAAGTAGAGATATTCTAAGCAGAGTATAATGTTGGAATTGTTTCTGTTTCAGAATTCAATGCGGTTATATCTGACACCAGACTCTAACCGTAGTATTATAACTATTGTAGGGAATACAGGTAAAGAGTGAAACTTTTACCTTCTTTTCTCATTGATGTTGCTTATAGAGACTAATAATAGGGATGAAACAGAAAGAATGGCGCTGTTAATCCCTCCCAAACATGCTTTCTATAGAAATACCTTTACTATTATATTTCTAGGATTTGCCCAATAAGTTTCCAAGTAAAAATATTTCCCGATCCAATGAGCTATTCGATGTCTGGGTTTATTTTTTTCTACCATGAACAATGTGATAATTGTTAATTTATGGACCAAGTGCTTGGGTGCAATGGTAAAGAATTGGTTCTCGAGGGGAAAAATTTAAGCTCAAATCTGAAAGCGGTCTTTTAATGCAAATAATGCTAGTGGTTGTTACCCAGCCCTGCCACTCATCCAACATTTGGTCCTTCCCTGTCAAGAGTTTGCCCTAAATGTACACAGAAGGTAATATATTGAATCTAATTGGAAATCAAATGAGATGGGAGTTTTGTAAGTGCCCATTTTGGGATTGTCGTATGTAGGGGAAGCCAATCTTTTTAAGGGAATATGCTAATATCTAAAATAAATTGAAGGATGGCATGTCTCTGGCGTTGTCATTGTCATACAGTGCTCTACCTGTTCAGAAAATACATAATCTACAGTCACAACCAGTTCACCTCCCCCTTTTTTGCCATTTTCTTTTATAATTTACCCAAGTTCTTAAAATGAAACCACTCGAGGTTCTGTTCAATGAGATGCAAGAGGAGTTATGAGTCTTGTATCTTTTTTTGTTTGATAGTATCTGTAACCAACTTCCTTTTAGTGTACCACCAACAGTGTAATTATGACAATATTATTGTTGGTATGAATTGTATCGATTTTTGGTGCTGCCTTCAGTATATTACCCTCCATTACTTTCTGATGTAGATGTTGAAGTCCAGTGGCACGACTGGGATCAACTGATGATCAATCTCACCCATAGAGAAGATTTTGGGATTGGAGGGCGTGCACAATATGAGGTGAAAAGTGTGCCTTGTTTTATTAGATACTTATAATGTAAGTTACTAGATTAGTTAACAAATTTGTCTATTGAGTAAGATCCTTTAAAGTAGTTCCCAAAAAAAAAAAAGTTGGATCCTTAGAAGTGGTTTGGAATGTCCTTTCGCATTGGTTGAAATGTGATCCAGAAGGGGGAGTAAGTTTGAACTTGTTTAATAGGGAAATGCAAAAAAAATGAAACTGAATCATATTTACATAAATAATTTAAATTAGTGATGTGTAAAAGAAAGAAGAATTATTTGTTCAAGAAAACTGAAGCTATGAGATTCGTTTCAACCTTTGAGATATAGAATGCAAGAGTTTCTAAGTTATGTTAAATGAAACATCATAATGCCGGCTATGGTCGTAAATAATTCAGATTCATCCTACTTTTTATTTGTTTCTTCAGGTCAAAGTGATTCGGGCTCAAAAGTTCACAGATAAAGTGATCATCACACTCCCAGCCAATGGTGTGCATTTTTCCCAACACCCTTATAATTCAACTCCACTTTTCTTTACCGTCAATCAGAAAATCGTTTCCACAAGTTTTGTGTGATTTAGGTGTCTATTTTACAGGTCAAAGAGTGGAAATTGATGTTGACTATGAACCTGGAGGGAAATCAGCATCAGCAATGACTAGTAATATTACCTTTTGGGCGAGCATACTCGGGTGCATCACCCTTTTGGTATTGACAGTGGCAATCTTCATTTGCTACCTGGACAAACCAGGTCGATCTCGGCCGTACACTGTGCCTGCCACACCAAATATTGCTTGTCCGGTTACACCTGATCGTAGTAACATTAGCTCTTTTCATGTGAATGAACAGTCTCCTCGGACGCCTCAGCCTTTCATAGAATACGTGAGGCGGACGATTGATGAAACTCCGTACTATAGACGAGAAGGGAGGAGGAGGTTTAATCCACAGAACACTTACTAGATTTTTGCAGGGACATTTCTGTATCATCAAGTTTAGATAGACCCTCTCTTTAGCAACATGCCTTCTAGAAATTTTGATATGTTTTGTTGTAATTTAATTTATCAATCATTTCGGCGCGAGTTTGTTGTGCAATACATGTTAACAAATTCTCTCTTGCACACACCTGTCTGCCTGGCATGCGAAAATAAAATAAAATAACTAGGTTTCTTGATCATTTTGGCCCACGTTTAAGATCAGTGACGAATGGTTGTGAAATTTTCGAAGGAAAAATATTTAGAGAAAACTCACTGGGTCTAGTTTTTTTAACCCTGTTAGGTCTTAACTCGTGCATGTAATAAACATCATGTCTAAACCAGTTCTTAATTTCGATTAAAAAAAGCAGGTCTTAATTGCTTTTGGCATATATAGTAAACTGAAGTACTAACTGCTAAGCTTGTTGGTTAATTTCCCAGAACTAATCACATAATTGTAATAAATAAAATTAAAAAAATACCACAATGGAAAAAAGGGGAAATTTCAGTTCAGGTTAAATTCAAAAAAATAATTAGATAAGTGATAAGTTTTACAAGTATTAATTATTAAAATCATAATCTTTACCATGAAATTGTACTCCCTCCGTCCTAAAATAATAGTCCCTTTTGGGGAATTCAACTTTTTTTGTAGTACAATTATTGTACTTTAAAAAAGTTGATTTTTCAAAATTACCCTTTGATAGTACATTTTTTTGGGAATATCAATGTCATAATTGTACTTTTTATATTATTTATGAATTTAAAAGAAGGGTAAAATAGAAAATTTATATTATTTTTGTACTTAATTTTTGAAGAGGGACTAATATTTTAGGACAATAAAAAATAGAATAAGGGACTAATATTATGGGACGGAGGGAGTAATAATTTTCAAGTAATAGTACTGTGGTAATTTTCCCATGAAAAAACGCCGTTGTTGAGACTCAGGGAAGAATTCAAGTCACATCATGCGTAAGAAGTCCAAAATTAAACAGTCAGGATTGGTTCGTGGAACCACATGTAGTAGGCATCACAAATTTCCAACAACAGTAGTCGGAAAGAACGATTCATTTCATGGAATCGTAATTCAGTGCCACTTAGGCCTCGTTTGGGGTAACTATTTTAGTTAAAAAGTGATTATAAATCATCATTATCCTCGTTTGATACATTAGTCAGTGCACTAATTGGTGCATATAGCATTAGTCTTTTTTTATTGTCCACTAAGGGCATGTTTGATTGGAAGGATTAAAGTATGGGATTAGGATTATTAATCCGTGGGCCCAACCATCCTATGTTTGTTTTGACATTTGGTTTAGGACTATTAATCCAATGGATAATTAATCCAACAAATTTGTAGGATAATTAGTAATGGGGTAGGGGTGGAATAGTTAATACCACACTAATTTGATAGGATTATTAATACCTCACTATTAGTATTGTGAATCAAACATGACCTAAAGGTTTGCAAAATCATGTCAGGTTTTTTATTTGATTGACTACAAATGTGTATTATTGTGTTTTAAAATAACTACATTAAAAGCATATTGAAGGTTTTCAACCATTACAGTAGTTCGATCATGATAAAGTCCATCTTTACAATTAAATTTGATGTTAATAGTAGGCGTAGATATTGATATATGATTACTATTTTGTGTACATCTAATAGAATAGTATTATACAATCAAATAAAATTTAAAATTTCTTCTTTCAAATTAATGTGGCTCCTATATGCTATTTTACTATCACATTTTAAATTTTAAAGATTTATTGCAGCATGTCACTACACTACTGTACGAGCACGAAATAATTCTTCTCGTATGATCCTGTTGATCAAGTTTGCACTTCTCTGAACAACGTTGCTTTGCCACCTGAAAACACAAACGTGAGCTAACCGGCGGAGGTGTACCGGAAACCCCTCCGATGCCTAAGTCAGCAACTAGACAATAGATAATAAGCTATGTGTATTCTGGGGTAAGAATTGGGATACCTGTCCATAGGTCTGGTCATGAGCTTTTATAGACTTTAGTTTGGCACAATCCTAGTAGGATTCCAACTCTCCCTATGAGAGTCCTCCTAGGAATCACACACCCTACTCACTACCAACCAAGTGAGATGGTTTTGCACAATCCTTATAGCGATCCCGGTATTCCCTGTTGTTGTCTAATTGTAATCCGGACTCGGTTCCGTAGATTCGTTGTTTTCTTATCCTCATTTCTATCCCTTACTCTTTGTGTTAGAGTTTTGGGTTGTGTTGGGCAAGTTGGGAATAAGTTGGCCGTGTTTTAAAACTTAGAATTTTTGCCCAGGTTTTGGTCTCTCCGCTCGAGCAGCGGTTTGACGCTCGAGCGGGCTTTTGTTGCTGCCTCTCCGCTCGAGCAGCAGTTTGGACGCTCGAGCGTGAATTTCCTTCTCTCAGCATTTTGGTCGTCTGCAGAAAATTCTGGGAGGGAGCATCCCGCGCTCGAGCGGATCTTTGGACGCTCGAGCGTGAACGTGTGTCTGACGCTCGAGCGGGGTGTTGTACGCTCGAGCGGACCTGTTTTATATCAGTCCGTGGAATCACTTTTTGAATCACTTTTCACTTTTCTTTTCTCTCTCGTACTTTCCCAAAACCGATTTTTAAGAGCTCCTCACTCTAAAACTTAACTTCTCTCTAGGATTTGATCTAGTAGGAGTGTTTTCCTCACCTTGGGCCTTTGTAAAAAGTGTGTTGATCGTCGAGGGCTTCGTTTTGATCCAAGAAATTTAGGATTTGGAGCACTTCCGAGTTTTGCTCTTCTTCTCCTTGGGTTCTACATTTGAGGTAGGGATTTCCTTGTTCTTTTTCAATACTTCGTCTATAGATAGACATGTGGTAGTTTTGTATTGCATGAAAACCATACCTATGTTGGGTTTGTTTGAAAATCATGAGGAAACCTAGAGTTGGTTGATTATGGATTTATTGTCTTTGGTTGTTCATTGGACTATTTATGGCGTAAAATAGTATGTTGTTGTCGAAATATAGAAAAGGCCCAAATTTATATGCGTCATTTTTAATCCTAATTTTTTTTCTTCATATCCAGTCAATTGCCTAAGGACAATTTGACCGGCTAACCGTCTGTCAGATATGTAACTAGAATATTTGACCAAAAAAAAAAAAAAACAAAACAAAGATAAGGCATCAAAGATGTGCCTATAGTTCATATTATAGCGAACCCTCCGTAACCAAAAATAATTGGGTGCATCCAAACAAGGAATAATAAAATGCAAATTTAAAGAGTAAGAATATTTGCAAATTCCAAGAACTATCAAGTTGTCCAGAGCTTTCACTTGATATAAAACAAGATATAATCTTATTCATTCTTCATTAATCACCTTGTACAAATTCTGCATCTATCATCTCCATCAAATTATTCATAGCCAGGGAACACAAAACAGATAAGCCTAGTAATTTAGATAACAAATTAAAGGTTGTGGAAAGTTGTATCATGAAATAATATAATAAGGATGGCCATATTTTCCATTCTGTCAAAACCACCAATCCACCATATGGTTGAAATAGAAAAAAACAAAAGATGAATGTTTTGAAATTTTTGAAATTAGTTTTCAGACAACTTTCAGTATACCAAAATCGCCCATTACACAAAGAAGTGAGAAAGCGAGGTAGTGTAAGGAGAAATAGGAAGTGAGGTGAAGAGAATGTCGAAAGAATGAAGTAGAACCATTAAGAATCGAGAAAGATATGAAGTCCGAAAGATGGCTCGAAGAAAAGTCAAAAATGAGAAGAAAAGTTTTATTTTATTTATCAACTTTCGGAGCTCCGATAGCATGCAAAAAGAGAAAGAACGAGACATGTGAGATGTCATATCAAAACTAGACTGTGAGTTGAATCCAATGACACAAAAATGAGGCGCAACAAAGTCATAACGATGGAGATAGAAAGGCTTGAAGTGGTGGTTACCGATGGTGGTTTGCTGGGTGGGTCTACATCTTTCTTTTGAAATTTGGGGCCAAAATGTAATTATTTTAACTTTTTCCGTTTCAAATTTGACGGCAGGGGCAAAATTGATAGTAACTTAAATAGTATAGGGGTACGCGTGAAAATAAGAGTAATCTGGGGGGGTCATTGAAAATCGTGACAAAGTATAGGGGTAAAAATGAAATAATCTCTTGTGTTTGTGTTCAAAGTACGAGACGAGTCACGCTACGAGAGACGGGTCATGTTGCTACCATAGTTTAGAGCAAATGACTCATACTACTCGGGGATGATTCGTGCTTGTACATTGAATGCAACAACCCTTTTGATCTATATTTCAAACTTGTAGCTGTGAAATATGGGGTATTTCAAACCGGATTGCAATTGATGGCCGATGTTAAATCTCCTTTATGTGATTAGTGGTGAATTCTTTGCTCTAGGATTTTTTCCAAAAATCACTATCTCAAACCCTACGTTTAATTGTCAATTTAATTTCTCAATTTTCTTTAATTCTTATTTAGTCATAATATCTCTCAATCTTTTTAATCAAAATTAATTTAGGAATTTAGCAATTAAATTAGTTTAATTTCACAACTGTCTCTATGGATCGATACGTGGACATGCCATTATTCTAAAAGAATTTGGTATAGTTTAGTGTTTATATTTGTTGTGTGCAGCGACCCATCAAATTTTGGCGCCTTTGTCGAGGACTTCTAGCGAAATTAAGTAATTTAATTTTACATTCCTATTTTAATTTTTAGTTTAGAATTTTATATTTTAGTGTTGCTACGTGTGCAGAGTGTTTGCAAGTAGAGCTATCACCGAAGTGCAAGCAGAGCGCAACCAAGCTTTAAACACAAACCACAGCACCAAAGTGCTTAAAAAAAAAACAAA